CAATATGTTTTTTTTTCCATTCTGTCCTGTCACCCGTCACGCTATCACTAACTCCTCTGTCTTCCATATCACTTCTCACACAATCCATCCATATTTTCTTTGGTCTCCCTCTCCATCCATCCACATTTATACTCGTGGCTTTTTTTGTAATATGCGTTTCATCCTTCTTTTCACATGGCCATACCAAGACAAAAGCCCGCTACGAAGCATGGAAGAAATTTTGGACAAAATGTTATTTGTTTACCTAAATATACTGAAACCGATTGAAATGATTGTGACTTTATTAATGTGGAAATATTAACATCCTACTAATATTATAAATGTAATAGTTTGTAAGAACGTACGGTTGTATGTTTGTTATTCTTTCTTGCAAAAAGACTGGGGCGGTATGGTTGAAATTGGTGAAGTTATTAAGTACATATTTGGTGAAATTATGAAGTTATTAATTAGATCTCGCTCTAAATTTCGGTCTTTTTGTCTATGCTTGTCAACTCTTTTGGCGTACAATAAAGTTTCATCAACATCAACCTCTAAGTGCCCACTGCTGAGCAAACACCTCTTCTCATTCGGAGAAGGTTAGAGCATTAATCACCACGCTTGCTCAATGCGGGTTGGCAATTTCAAACCTATAATTAGAAATTATAAGTCCAGGTTTCCTCAAGATTTTTACCTTCATCGTATGTCTGTGGTGTCTAAATAATCATAGAAAGTACATATTATAACTCGGAAAAAGTCACATTGGTCCTTGCCAGGTTTTGAACACACACCCTCATGCATGAGAAGCGGGTTACGTAACCTCCGGGACACACATAAAATTTATTAAATATATAAAATTTATTTATTTATTATATATCTCGATTGTTAATTTTAATATTATAAACGTGAAAGTCTGTGGGAATAGATGGATGTATGTTTTATTATTATTTCACGCAAAGACGGCTGGACATGTTTGGTTGAAATTTAGTGTGTATAAGCTATTTTGAAGTTATTAATTACATCTCGATTCGTTCAGCAGTTTAGGCGTGATTTAGTTCTACAAATATTTATTAATTAAGTAAGACTGCATTTTTGTTTACATCTTTACTAATTATGAATGATATTATTGTAGAATCCTATATCTATACCACGGGTTCATCATTGAACCCGTGGTATATGTAGATATTGGACGGACTTTATCAGTCCGTGATTATCTTACAGCTGAGCTAAAGCCTTTTTTTACACGGAGAAGGTTTTTTCATTAATCACCACGCTTCCTCAAGGCGGATAAGCGAAACTTGGACTTATAGTTAGAAATCATAAAGCCCAGATTCCCTAGCGGTGTTTTCTTTAACCATTATATGCTATGCATAAGTCTTAGAGACTTAAAGAATTTAGTCAAGTCAAGTTCTAAATCCATATCGTCCATTTTGAAGCGTCTAAATTAAATAATACTCTGTCAGTCTGTCTCTGTCAGTCCGTCAGTAAAGCTAGGATGGTTTAGAAAGGAGAATAACGAGCAAGTAACTCCATCATTACAGAAATTAGGTCAATAGATTAATTTATTATAAAATCATCACACATGGGTTCCCGTGAAATATGTTGATAACTATGCAATGAACAGCATTCCTAGCGCCATATTAATTGGTGCTAAATTGCCGCACCAACATGTCGTGTGCAGATTTAAAAATTACAACCAAATTACTCGTAGACTTCGTTTGATGGGCCGAATAGCAGCATTTTAGGGCAAAATTATACGTGTTTTTACTTAATATTATTTATATTTAAAGTACTTGTTGTTAGTTAATTAGGGTTTTCGACGATTAGGAGGACTGTGAGTATATACCTATATTTAGACGTGATATTATGAAGTCCAGGTTTATTTTCATAGTAACTTTCGAGATCAACTAATGAGCCAATTTTTTAGTAAGTACTCCGAAAAACTTACAAACGTAGTGTAGGGGGTCCTCTAGCTAGGTGGACTGACGATATCCACGGAATGGCTGGCAGTGGTTGGATGAAAAGAGCTGAATGAACATCGAGCTCAGTGGCGTGCAAATGGGTAGTATCCTCGGTCAAAAATAAATTAATTTGATGTTTCAGTACAGTAAAATATTGAAAAATAAGTATACTTTAATTCATCCATCGATCGGTACTCTAAGTTTTAGATTTTTTAGCTACTTATTAAGAAATAAGTAAGCTATTTGACTCAAAAATCTTTTGACGTCATAACTCAGTTTTTCATACAAATTTCATAGAAAAGTATAGTTTTTGACGTTTGGATAAAAATTTGATTAGTTGGAAACTACCGTATTGGAGAGGCCTATGAGCAGCAGTAGACAGAATCAGGCTAATGATGACGATGACGATGATGATGATAAAAAATACTCAACTAAAGAATATTTCAAAAATACTCTCTATAAAGAGAACCAAGTTTTATTAGAATGAGTTCATTAGATACCAAAATTTTGGAAAACAAATTTTGCACAGAAAGTTACGCTGTGTCAACGGTCTTGGCCAATTACGAACGCTTATCTAATTATCCCGCTAGATTTTTTTCAACAAAAAGTTTTATATCTGCTGGGCTATGTATAAAGAGAACATGCCATTTCCTCAGTACATCATACAAATACAACAATCGCTCATTACGTGACTCTTATTACAAAACGAATCACACAGAAAATTGCACTCTATTCACTACAAATAGACGATTGAATTTCGATAAACCGATGTATTTACAAAGGGTATGTACTAGATATGAATAGTATGGCAAAGAAAAATGCACCCTGCGCTGTGTAAACAAAAGATTGAATTTCGATAATCGTAGTTCTAACTCGGTCAATAAAACACCCACACATACGTTTTTAAATCATATCATGGAATGAAGGAATCATTTTTACTTCTTATCACACAAAGACTTTAAAGTTTCACATTTCTTACTGAACCATTGTTCGTTAAGAATACAGTTGCACGACTGGCATAGATAATATTCCTCTGGAAAATTCCTCATCCTCCATTGAAAGGGAGGATCCTCCGACCAGATCAGGGGGTTGTGACTGCTGGGCTACTGCCCGACGGTTGCTGTCGGGGTCTTGTACCAGTTTAATTTGACTTGTTCCGTGCGAGAACCGATCCCGCAACGTGTTGCGCTGCAGCCAGCCCAACCACCGCGTCCACCGTGCAGTCAAATATTTTTGTTTTAAGAATTGTCGATGCGTCGTCTATTTAATTTTCATGTGCAAAGATGTCCTCATATAATGAATAAAGAACTTTTGTTTGGAAAGAATCAAACAGCGTAGCGTTATTCTTCTCCTAGTTTTGATTTAATGAATTCGGTCAACCATAATTTGTGTCAACATAAAGTAGGGAGTTTCTCTGCCTATTAATTCTTGGGTAACATTAATTAATTGTATGTTTACACCATTATTTAAGAAATATTACTAACAAAGTGCGACTTTAAAAGATTAATTCACTCCAGTGATTTACACAGTCTACCGTTAATATACTTTCAAAATAAGAATAGGGACGTGTGTTCGCTTTTTAATTTTCTTTACGGCCAGTTGGAATGGCTTTTTTATAAGCCAGCGTGTTTGGAACTTTTTGGTGTAATTAAGAGGTATTTCTTTTTCTTCGTAGAAGTAAGAGATACGTCGCGGTCGCTTCGTGCCAGTTATTACAAATGGCGCGCAATTTGTCACGTACAGTTTGTTCCGAGTTTGTTTTTTGAACTAAAATTCTTAGTATTCCAATAGAAAGTTTATTATTTGTAGTCAATTATCTGCCCAATATTTTTTTGCATTTATTTAGCAATCAAATGTTTTCAGTCTAAGAAAACGAAGTAAATAGGTTTCGATTGGGTTTCAGTATATTCATAAAATTGGATAAAAAAGACGAAGTACTAGGCGTACTCAAATCTAATTTTGATGAAAATGCCAGTCTTAGGACTATATAAAATGGAACCAACTTCATTATTCAAATGGACACGACAACCCAGAAATAACGACCGCCAGAAAGCATTGATTCTACGCAATAAAACAAAAATCTAGGCAGAAGGAATTGGGGAAAATATAAAAAGAATATGAAACCAATGTTAATGTTCGTACCATGTAGGTTCAATATCACCATAACTTATTAGGTCAATCGTGTGTGCGAAATTGAAAGAAAAAGGTCCTCCGTTAATTAACCCACATCTTCGGTTTTATATCTGAGCACTTTTATTATCTGTGGTTATAAGTTACGCGGGAAAATAAGTAGGAACGGGTGCTCTTATTTCGAATTGTTTGAATAACGTTTTAGAACAATTTGGGACAAATGCTTTATTTTAATTAAAATAAATAAGTAAATGCCCTTTTCATTTTATCGTCGTTGATAATTCAACAGGGATTTTAGTTGATTGTTATTTCATATATTAGGTATGTAGTTATAGACATAAACATATTATTTTATTAATCGAGATAATTATTATGAAAATTAACATTCTTCATAAATAAGATTTTTAAAATCCTAAAAATACTTAATATTGGAGTGTACATACCTAATTACAATAAAATTATATATGATATATTTATTTACAAATATATTTATTTGTAAAAAAACTATTCATTTTACTAAGTATTTAGGCACTAAATTAATAAAACGTTTGGAGAACCAAACGTTTTATTTATTTAATTCAATGAATAGCCGGCAAAAAATGTTGTGATAAATATCTTATCATAAACAAAACGTGAAAATAAATAAGACATTTTTTAACATTCAAATTAAATCAAATACTAATTTAAAAAAAAACTTTCGTTCGAATTTGTTTGACATTTGTTAGACATCAACAACTTTGTCTTCTGAACTTCCTAATTCTCGAAAAAATATGTCACTTCTATGTCTACCGAGATTTTTCAGTGTCAGTCTACATGAAAAACTGTCGCAAAAATCCAGTCTCATTAAATCACTAATATTCTCAATCCAATAACCTATTTTGTCAGCAGCGAATTATTTAAAAACCATAAATAAAAAAAAGATCTAATACTTACATAAATCGAAATGTCATTTATGAAGTAAAACACCCATTTACACAAATTATTACGAACAACAAAAACACTGTTTTGACACTATTGTAAAATTATCTTGTCACTTTTGTTAACGTGAAAACTTTCGCGCGGGAAACTTGTGGAAGGGCGACGTGGCCACGTCCGCACAGGTCGCGTGTTGCGCGAGAACTGAACTGGCCCAGTGAATTTTCACACCCACGGACTTTTCATTTGGATCACGCGCTGAGGGCGGGAAAGCCGTGTTCGAGATTCGAATGTTCAGTTGTCTATGACGTGTAAGTACGTAGGGCGAACTAATTATTGGCCCAAGGAGTTTATACGTCGTCACTTCACTGTCTCGTTGAAAACAACAAGTTTGTCTGTGATGTTTTTTCTTTGTAAAATATGAATCGTTTCTGTCATAGTTAACTGTGATGTTGAAATACTTAAATACATCTATTTAAAAGAAAATTTACAATATCACGAAAATTCAGTTATCATATATGTGTATGTAGTTTTCTTGTTTGTCTGAATGTTGGTAGAATCTACTACATTTTTTTATGTGATAGGTCGGCAAGCGAGCAGGCGGATTACCTGATGGTAAGTATTCAGCGCCATGGCCACCAACAACAGTACCTAGAGTTACGAGTGCGTTGCCGACCTTTTGGGAATTAGAGATGAGAGGAGGAGGGGAAGTATTGGGCCTCCTGTAACCTTGCCCACACGGCGAAATACAACGATGTAGTTTAAATTATTTTTTATTCATACAAGTACGCATACGTTCATATAATGATATTCTCTTTTATGTCAATAAAATAAACACGATAAACACCAACTCTTTACATAAAACCTTTACACGAAAAAAAAAAAAACATCTCAGACCCACGTCGAACTGTCACATTTAGTATTTATACGACTCTATTACTTTCACTTAAAACCAAAACACTGGCTTTTAATCTTAACATTTGTAATCTGGACGTGGTAGCCCGTAACCATTGTATTCTGTATTATACCTCAGAAGTATTTATCATGGATTAAAAGTATTTGATCATTGTTACAACAAAACGATGACATAATGGCGTAAGAATGAATGTTACGCTACGTGTATAGAGTAACAATTATGAGTTGGCTACTTTTTTTAAGCAAGCATACTCTAGTTCATACATCGACCAGAGTGATAACGCGGCCTCACAGAAAACCGACGTGAAACCAGCACAGCATTTTGTTTCGCCGTGTGAGTGAGGTTACCGAAGGCCCAAACCTTCCCCTGCCCCAATTCCAAAATGTCCAAATCCCTAATAGCAAAAAGGTCGGTAATGCACTCGTTGCGCCTCCGTTGCTGCGGGTTTCCATGGGCGGCGCTCATTGCTGACCTTCAGGTAATTTGCTAGCTCAATTGCCGTCGTACCAAACAAAAAAAAATTGTGCAGGCAAGGTTCAGTGACACCACTGACGAAGGACGGAAAACATCGTTAGAAAACCTGGACTTATACTTTCTGGTTCATTTGGAACTAGCTACTCTCGCGCGGTTTCACTCGCTTCTGGGCTCCATTTGATTGTCGCGTGATGTTTTATAGCCTGTAGAACTCGGGAACATTGTAGTTATCAATAAGTGAAAGATTTCTGGGAATCCGACCAGTGGTTCCAAAGGTTACCCCCTAAGTTTGTATAACTTACAAATTGTACCTAATTATTATATAAGTATAGATACATGATTTACTTTTACCCGCGTTTTCACCTGCGCTGGCTATAGCCCATGTTCACAGAGGATAGTGAAGCTTCCACACAGTGAAAAAAATTAAATTACTCAATGGAAACAAACAAATACGTACTCAAATCTTTCATCTTTATGATACTAGCACGGATGACGTAATTACAACATGTTGAAAATAACTTACATGACACGAAACATTTCAAACAAACTCAAATATTCCTGTAAAACATCATATACATCATACTGAAAAATCCCATTCAACATGAAATCTTAACACATCCAGTGCCCCCGACGCGCACGCGTCGGGGGCACTGGATGTGTTAAAGAATTGGGTCAAGTACAGAGGTTACTGAGAAAGGTTGACGAATACAAACAAACAAACATGATCTACGCCAATAATAAAATATTACGCTGAAGAATTCAGTTTCCCCGTTCGTTTTCCTCGTACGCTTAGTAAGAATTTGAATTGTCATGTCATGTCGTGTACTTATAAAAAAATATTTCCTATTAGCAACAATTTTATTTATAGATTTTGAATCAATGACTGTAATGTTCACTTTAACGATGTATCTGGTGAAAGTTTGACCATTGACCACGCAAGAAGTCTAGGTACAACTTAAAAAATTTGGAAATTATAATTGTCATCGTTAGTGGTGTATAAATTCCAGTCGGGGTTGCGAGGCAAGCTTATTAAGGCATCTTGGCCTTAGCCTAGAGTAGGAGAAGGAACAGGGGGGAGAGGGCGATAGTTAGTACCAGTCTGACACTTCCCTCTGGCCCTACCCTGGACGGGAGTAATCATTGAATGATTTTTTCCTCACAAAAAAGTGGTGTACTAGTAGTCTAAGAAAGAAGATACATAAAACTCGGAAAATATCATATTAGTACTTGCCAGGTTCCACATCTCGCACACGCAGCCTCGCACACAGAAAAAGAGAGTCACTATGACATATCCCAATCCTGCAGCACCCAGTAATTCAAATAAACATTACGATTGTAACCACATATTTTGTTAACGTTGTGTGGAAGAGTCAAGCTTCGGCACAAATGGGTCGGCTCGACCGGAGTGATACCACGGCCTCACAGGATACCGGCGTGAAACAACCCACAGTGTTGTGTTTCGCCGTGTAAGTGAGGTTACCGGAAGCCCAAACCCTTCCCTTTCCCTATCCCTTCCCGATCCTTATATCGGCAACCCCTATCCCCAAAAGGCCGGCAACGCACTCGTAACTCCTTTGGTGTTGCGAGTATACAACGTTAGGTATTAGTGGATTGGCCATACAAACACATCAAAACACTATACAACATAAATTGAAATAAATCGGGAACAACTTGTTTACACAAAAAGTCGGCTAAAGAAAGAAATCCAACAAAAACCGGACTAAACTGGTTCAAACTGGAAGTAACCGGAATAGGGTATTTTGTTACCGCCTTACTTACAAATTGGGCTTGTTATTTCCTTGTTCCTGTCAATTTTGCGGTTAATCTGATGATTTTGACCCTCTTTAATAATGATTACTCTTTTATAAAGGCCTTTTTTGAGAGGAAAATTTCTTCAAAGGATATTTGTCGCCCTGCTTTTGCAAGAGGGAGTGTCAGACCCTTGCTGACTAAAAACCACCCCGTTCTTTCTCCTGCTACAGGTCGGAGCTGCGATACATCATTTTGCTTGACCTGCAACCCCGGGTAGTGATGATAGAAAAGGATAAAAGATAGTACATATTCTTCTACTCTATCACCTTTCAAAAGTTTGAAAAGAGCCGATTAAGGGACTATTCTACTACTAGTGAAACCTGATAGATCTTTCCTCAAACCTTTACATACAAAACTTTAGCCGTTTCCGAGATTTTTCTCGTTCACAGGTAGTATCATCATCAATGGCCAATCACAGTCCACTTTGACCCTTCTTACACGTTTTAGATGGTCTGCCATGACATTCAAGCTACGCAGGCGAGTTTGGAAAATATACAATTAGTTGACTAATAAATCAAATCTATTTGAGTTCATATAAAAAATATGATGAATGACAAAATAAATAGCAAACACTGTTTTGCACAAACAACTCATGATTGATTCACATAGAACTTTAATTAATCGAAATATGACATTAGTTTATTAAATATTATAATAATGGTATGTTGTCCTGACTTTAAAAGTAACATTTCACAATGAATGAGATCTTTTTAGTAACTTATGCTATCAACAGCTATCGCATCTTTGGCTATCATCGGCCTTTTCCATAAAATTTTCTCAGATATCACTAGAAACTTTTTAACCAGATTAAAAATTAAAGAAAATTCTAAAAACAAATGGTTGTTACATAACACTGAAATAAGTTAACATTCTGAAAATTTTATTATAGTATCGCAAACATCTTGAGATCAGATACACTGATCTTAATTAGTTAAGTAAACTTATAAACGGTTGAGGTCGTATAGTTTGACAGAAGACAAATATTAGTATGTCATAACATGAGTTAATATTGAAGTGGTACTTGGGTACTTTGTAGCCAATATGATCAAATGTCAAGTAGGTATATATATATTATGTTGAGCGGTTTCGTTTATGTAAAGTGGATGATTATACTTCCTGGTTCAATAATGTGAAACACAGCTCAGGGAAATCTTCAACAAAAGACGACAATTGGTGGAACACAAACTTTTATTAATTAGTATTTTTACAATAGTTTTTTCTTTTTTTTCTTTCAGTTGCGTCACACTGTCACGCTTGGCGCCAAAATTCGAATCCCCGCTCGCTCGCTCATAGACAACACAGGCTCAACTGTCAAAACTGATGACGTGACATAACTACTATAAGTCGATTAATCGATTGAACGTTACAGATGTGTTAGTTAAAGCAAAAGATTTATCCTAGCTGTATTTGAAACTCAGCCTGGATGGCTTGGTAAGCGCAATAACGTACTGAAGCCTTATCCTGGAGCAGAAGAAGGAAAAGGGAGGGGGATTAGTCAGTAAGACTCTAATACTCGCTCTCAGTGTAAGGAACATTGGGTGAGAGAAGTAATGTGGAGGATTACCAACCTCAAAATTAAAGGTTTACTGACGAACAACGCAATATATAGACGTTAAAACGTTAAAAAGAGGTGGGTTAGAACATGTACAAAGGCGTCGGACATGTTCAAATGCTTTCAATTTTGGTTTTGGGTTAAAACTCAATGTGTTAGAAACATCTTTTAAATGTAAATATTTTTCCTTAACATGTCTACACCCAATACATTATCTTATCATTCGATTATTTTATTTCATTTTATAGGGTTATCATCTTTTTTGCAAGTATGGTTTGATCCAACGAATCCACCGATGGTTAGTGACTAGTGGCACCAGGGATACTTGCTAGATACCAGAAAATCATGAAATGACTTCTCTCGAGAGCGATTGTTAGTCTGTTACTGACTAAAACCCCCGTTCCTCCTCCTCAAGGTTGAGGCCGCGGTACCTTATTGCGCT